ATAGAAATGATTGTGCTGAGGGCTAGAAGATTAAATTGTGTCACTTGTCAGGAAACTGGCAAGCCGCCCTCTTCTGCACTTTGGTTTTATGCTGTGGACAGGTTTAATAAATGCACCATTGTGTAAAATGTCATTGCTGCACAGCCAAGCAAAGGATGTCATGTGTGATGGCTCTTCCTTAGGAAGACATGTCAAAATTGGTCATTGGCAATCTAGGGACATCAAGTGACACTGGAGGCATTTTATGTTACAAAAACCATTCTTCGGAAGATGGAAATATATCTATTTTTCTCTGAAGGAAAATTAATGATCTTTCCATCACATTTTAATTTTTAAAGCCAAAGGATGCTATCCAATCATAACGACTGCTTCTAGAAGGCAAAATACTAGTGATGAGTAAGTTCTTCAAAATTCCATCTTACTGTTAACTAAATAACTGCAAATGAAACATAGAAATCTACCATTGGTTGGTTGCCACTGTCTACATATGAGTATGGGGAATAATGACAACATATTTTGAAAAATGTTTGTTACATCAATTATTGGTCTAAACCAGGAATGTGTGCAAGGCTCTGAATATTGGGGGTATGTGGTCATACTATGAGTTTTTTCTAGCACTATGTTTATTCCTAGCTTCTGAAGGCTTGGGGCTCAAGTTAGTGTTATGCTGAGTTGCTGGGTCTACAGATAACTGAGTTACATTGGGGGTCTCACAGTTTACCCAACTTCTTCATGGAGCTACTCTTCCATATAATCTTCTCCGTAAGTTTCTTGAGCTACATGGCCATATGTCAAACGTGGCAGTGAGGCAACCGGAGAACAGAGGGCTTCAAAGGGACCAAGGCACATAGCTCGGAAACTCAGATCCTCTTGTTCTAAATAGTGTACTGTTTTCTGGAGACTAGTTTATTTGGGGAGAAGTCCACTTCTCAATTTACTTTACAACCACACTGTTTTGGGTATAGTTTAGCATGTACAAGAAAGTTTCTCATGTTTGTAAGACTTCCAGAAGCGCGCGCATACACACACACACACACACACACACGTACACATACACATTTACATATTCCTATTCCATCACTGCCTAGACATTCATTAAATGTCTACAAGCTTAAAATTATATCTTTTCCATTTTAAAGTTACTTTTAATATCATGCTATCATATAATCAATAGAAAAGAGGACTAAGATAGATAGGAACAAGAAAGTTGGAAAGGACAGAGTGAAAGGGGGGCTAGGGACATGTAGACAGGCAGATAAGGAGAAAGTGTTGAAAGCATTTCTTTAGTGCCTATTATGTGGCTGGCATAGCTTTGGGCTTAGGCTATCTCACTGAACCTTCAGAACACCTTAGTGACATAGCCAGCACCATCATCATCTGGCAGACAGAAAACACCAGTGAGGGGAGTTTCACTCTGCCAAGGTCAGTTCACGGAGTACCAGACACTAAATCCATGCCTTCCTGGAGTTTGTACAGTACAATTCTCTCAGTGGCCTCGGGACTAGTGACCAGACAAAGCACTCCTTGGGGCCTGTCACTTCAGCTTTATACCCTGCTCCCTTCACATTGAGAAAATGCTTATATGGCATTAGTTTGGACCTGTGTATTATTCTTTCTTGACAGTACTTCAGATTGCTCATTATTTGAATCAAAACATTTTGATGTTTTATGACAAATACTTTTTCCTTTAGGTGTCACTCTTCCTAACCTCAGCTTCCCCTTCCATAAAATATGGATCTTGGACATGATTTCCTCCCCAATTTTCATAGTCTATATTTAAATCACAAGTCATATTTTCAGCTGATAGTTGTCTTTGAACTCTAGATATCTCTACATCAGTCAAGAACATGGGAGGGAGCAGTCTTAGTAATATTTGAAGGATCTACCAAAATGAAGGGGAGACCCAAGAGTTCTCTCATACAGACAAAAATGTACTCTAAATTAGAGACTAAGTATATCTTATTGTTTCAGGGAGGAGCATGGGATAGAAATTTTCAGATTTTTCAGGCATAGCTGAGAGGCCAGAATAAGGGCTAATAGACAGAGATCAGAATAAAGGAAATTGTAGCTCAGGATATAAATAAGAATGTTCCATGTATAATGAAGGTTCTACAAATGTTACCGCTCAAGATTATGTGTAACTTAATTATGGAATTAAGTTTTCAAGGATTATAATTTCTCATTTCTGTAGACATGAGATTTCCACTCATGACTGCAGGCAACAAGAAGCAGTTCTCTCAGAAATGCTGTTATCTATTCCTAACTGCAGGGCAAGCAGGTAACATAGTGACTGTTGCATCTCAAACCCAGAGGCAGAATTTACTAAGAGGTGAATGGTCCTTCTGTTTTAGATAGCAAACATTTGAGGATGCTGATCAGGTCTAAGGATTTCTAAAGTAGTCCCATAACCAGTTTGGTTTCATTTTTACCTGTTACACTCTCATTGAAGCAGTCTCATGGTGTAGCCTTGGTTGGCCTGGAAATCACCCTTTAGCTGAGGCTGGCCTCAAACTCATGGCCATCCTTCTGCACCACTACCTCAAATGCTAGGATTATAGGCATAAGTCAGCATACCCAGCTCATGTCTAAACATATAAAATGGAGCCTATCTAGGATTCAAACACAATCTCCTCTTGACTTACAGAGTTACACTCACATGTGTTTCAAATCTCTGACTGTTCAACATGGATATTTCATCTCTGAAAACCATTCAATTCAACTTGGAAATTTAATTGTCACAAAGCATGCATTTCCTATGGAACTCTTTCTGGATGAAACCACTTGCAAATGAACCTGAGAAAACAAAACAAGACAAAACAAAACAAAACAAACAAACAGCAACAACAAAACCACAGCTTTCCTCTTCGAGCTGCCAAGCTGCAGCTGTCTAATGTAACCACTGTATCAGAACGGTCTGATGGGGAACAAGTGTCTTTGCCTATTTCAAAGGGAAAATAGAAGAATAGGTTATTCATGGGTAATGAAAACAGACTGAGCCAGGACATGAAGTTTATATTCCTGCTACTCAGGTTACATTTCTCAATGTTATGCCATGCTGGCTAATGCCATCTTTATCCACAGGACCTGCCTTAACTAGCTGCCAGACTAACTTCTTTACCAAACCAAAACAAGGATCCCCTTAGCTCTCTCTCTCTCTGGAGGCCTTGATCATGAGCTTTGGCTTTAGCCCACTCAGATCAGTTTCAGCAAGAATTGTCCTGAATCAATTGGGCAGAAACTCTTCTCCCTGGGTATTACAATCTGCCCTTTAATATCTTATCACTGTAGCCTTCCTTCAGCCAGGACCTTATTTCTTTAGCTGGAATTTGTCTTATGACTGATATTTTTTTCTTAGTGATATTCTCTCTGTTGATTTCTCATCCATCCTTGGCTATATAGTCCCAGCTGTTCCTGTTGCATGCAGGAATGTGTCCTTTTTCTTTCTCCTACAGTAAAATCTGCACCCCACCAATCCTTCTTGAAGAATCTTCCTTATAGTCTTTCACAAGCCTCATGAATTACCTCTTTCAACATCCTTCCACACTCTAGGTCAATTTTCCCTCTTTCTTCTTCTCCATTTACTTATTAATATCAAAGGCATCCATTTAGCAAGCATTTATTAAACCACTTATATCTACATCATAGATGACATAAAGATATAACCAGGTATAGTGGCATGCGATTATAATCCCAGCATTTGACAGTTTGAAGGAATAGTACCACAAGTGTGAGGGTAGACTTGTCTATATTGTGAGATTTTGTTTAAAAAGTAAATTTAAAATGTATTGATATAATTAAATCTTTTTGGCCTATGAGGATCTTTAAGCAGGTAGTGTCATATTATATATTATACATTATTATATATTATATACTACATAATATGTAAACTATGTGTAGGATGGCTTCCATAAGTTTCTGAAGCCTTATTTATTTTGTGCCTTTTAGAGGTTATTCTTAATTCCTGGTTGCATTTTATATTATTTATTAATTGCTCCATATGGGTGATTCTTATTTTCACAACTTATTTCTAGGTTCTTTTTTTTTTTTTTTTTTTTTTTGCTTTTATAAGAACAACCAGAGGCTTAAGTGGTTGACCCTTTAATCATTTCCTTCAGTTCTTTTTGAAAACGGTGTCTGTTTTAAGGCTCTGATTCTAGCGTTGGAAATCCGGACATTCTCTTCTATGTTTGTGATACTCATCACCATGCCTTGTAGTATTAACACTGACCCTTAGGTATTGTTTAGTACCCAGCTCATCAGTTTCCCAAGTCAGACGGTTGTTTTGATTTTTAAAAGTTCAGTCAAAGTAAATGCTCTTGATTGGTGTCGGGTGTTCTTATTTCTAGGTTCTAACAGAGCAGGGCCTAGCTCCAGCAGCTACTGCTTTTCCCTGGGTGCTATCTCGGCTCTACTCCCCCCCTTAAACTCAATACCTAGTCTTCTTCCAAAGCAAGCTGCTCTTGTTTTATTCTCCCAGATAGTTTGCTCTTTCTCCATGTTTCAGCTTAAATTTATGCACTTACTTAATGTATTATCCAATTATATTTTAAGATCTAAAATCTTCCAATAGGACAGTTTCTCTGACTCTCTCTAAACATCTGTAGAATACCCTAAGAATACTTCTGTATCCATGTCCATACCAGCACATGATTTCCTAATGCTGTGTACAGTGTTGATTCTAGATACTACATTGCTGACTCATTAATTCATATTGTTACTCTTTCCAAGTAGACAGAGGGTCCCATGAGAATCAAAGCTGTATCTATAACCCCTCCCTAAGTGTCTGATCCAATGTCACATTTGGTAGCTATCAACATGCACAAATTAAATACGACTTGAAATTCAGCAAGTACGAAGAGATTTGCGGAGTCACTACAGGAAGCTTTGATAACCTTCTAAGTCCAGAAGTTTTATAGAATTATCATTCTCCAAAGGTACAAATGTGACTCACTGATGCAGTGGATCAACCCCCAAGTCATTTTCATGCTTTCAATCTTTACCTGAGTCTGCCATCCTCTGCCGCAGCACCTCCTGGAATAATCTTCGTAATAAATATGCCAGGGTCATCTCCAATGTGGGGATTATCTGTCCCTCCAGCAATACTGAATCCCAGGCCTGAATTTCCCTGTAGGAACAATAAGTGGATATTAAATGACATGCCGTCATCTAAAACCCAGTTCCCCTTGCTTTTTGTGTTATCATGTTACTACTCAAATGGAAATTTGGGGGGTAGCAGTCTTACGTACAAAGACATAAAGCTCTCTGTCAGCAGACAGAGCAAGGTCAGAACTCTCGTCTTTGCTTTGTAATAACTCAAAGAGTGGCATAATTTTTACTTAACAATGCTGCTTTTATGCAGCAATTAAGATAGCCATGAGTTCATTACAAAGAAAATTTGAAAATTAAGCACATGGGAAATGCAAAGAATCCTTAGAATATCAGCTATGAAAATACACATTCACATGAAAAACAGAAAGGAGTCATATAAAAACCAAAATGTGTTTGAATAGTGAAATTTGTGTGGCTTTGCCTTGTTGCTTTTACTTTTGTTGCTGTATGAATTATTTGTCAAATAAATGGCTCCTATGTAAATAACACACTCAGACTTCAGAAGGCAGGACTCCCATCTAAAGCCACACAAAATGCTTCCAGTGATGCACAAGGTTTATTTGCAGTGGCAAGAGACAAGCTGTGTACTACTTCTTCAGCATGAAAGTGTGAGTAGTTCACATTCTAATAAACTTTTCACACTTCTTTAGATTACAGTAATTGACATCCAATATTCATATACCTTCCAAAAATAAGGCATAATGAAAGTTCCCTCAAAATTCACTTATCATCTCCAAACGTTTCTTATTTACATATCCCCTTTAATTCATATCACCATGGTTACATTCTGTTTCCACAATTGTGTTCTGATGTTTTTCCAGTTCATATTATATTTTAAGTTCTTTCTGTACATCTATGCACTTTTAAAATTAACGATTTTAAATGGTAAAGTAATATCTCATTGAGATCATATGCCATCACTTCTTTCACAGGCTTTTTGATGCATATTTAATTATGTTCATGCTAGTACAACAAATAGAGCTTACTCAATTTATGACTGCTTGATTAAGTTTCACTCTAGGGTAAAAACAGATAAAGAGTAAGAGTTTAACACTTAATCCCGAGAAATTAATTAGGGCACTCAATTAGTCATAAAACCTCAATGTCAAGATAAAGTCAGCTATAAATTGATAGTTATGCTACAATAAATGTCAAGGTAATGTTTAGCCATATTTTTTTGTGAGTGTGCTTGTGTGTGCATACAGGGGTGGGGGTACATACACTTATGTGTATACCTGCAGAAACCAGAGGAAAATGTTAGATGCCTTCCTCTATGACTTTCTAACCTTCCCCTGAGACAGAGTCTCACTGAACCTGAAGCTCGTCATTTTTTACCTAGGCTGGCTGACTGACCAACAAGTCCTTGCCAACCATCTGTCTTTTCCCATGGCCATTGCTGGGGCTGCAGGTGAGTGTGTCTATGCCCATGTGTGCTGCGAATCCAAGGTCTTCTTCCTAGGTGAGGAATAGCACATATTTGAGCATCAAGTGCTCTTTCACACCTAGCCATCTCTCCAGCCCTAGCTTAGCATTCTCTTTTATTTATGAATTTAAGAAAAGTGAATTTTTGAGGGTTCCTTCCACAGTTGTATATTTATATTAAAAGCTTAAAATTTAGCATTAGTCAAAAGCAAGTAAAATTCTATATTTTGTATGTGGGCACCTGTAGACACATGACAGATAATACCATGGACACACACACACACACACACACACACACACACACACACACACACACACACACTAAAATAAATCATGAAAAATTAGAAGGATTGAAGAGATGGTTCAGCCATTAAGAGCATATTCTGCTCCTTCCGAGACCGTGGGTCAGATTCCCAGAACCAATGTTAGGTAGTTTACAACTACTTGGAACTCCAACTCCAGCCACACGAAAACCACAAAGCAGTTTCACTTCACAAGTGTGTGAATGGGTATTATGAAGACAAAAGAAGTGCTGAGAGAATGTGGCAGAAAGCAGGCCTTATGTACTATTGTTGGGAATGTGAACTAGTAGAGTCATCACAGAAAACAGGAGTAAATTCCTCAAGAAACTGAAAACAGAGCTAACAAAGCTCCAGCATTCCCTCTTCTTGTTATTCTCCTGACATTTTGACATCAATGTGTAGAGACTTAGAGATGTCTGTCAAGACCTCTATGTCCTCATGCTGTGCTGAGCAAAATAACAATCCAGAACTATGGACACATTCCTGTAACATCAACATTGGAGAGCCAGAGGCAAGAGGATCGTGAGTTCTAGCCCGACTGGCTGACACAACAAAACTCTGCTTGCAAGAAAGTCAACTTTCGTGGTCAAAGTAAACATGCATCATGGAGTGGATGGATAAAGAGAATTTGGTATACAATGATATTCAACCTACAAAAAGGAAGTGATCCTATCATTTGCAATCACATAGAATTAGAGAACACTATGCTAAGTAGAGTATACAAAAGACCAAAAGATAAATACTGCACATTCTCATAAGTAAATCTAAAACTATTGACTCTAAAAATAAGGAAAAACACTGAAGATAAGATAGACTTAGATAACCACAAATAACAACATGTGTCCAAAGTAAACATGCATATCTCTAAAAATACAAAAGAGTGAATGCAGATGATCAGCTATTAAGAATGCATACCGTCTTAGTTAGGCTTTCTATTGCTGTGGAGACACCACAGCCATGGAAACTCTTATAAAGAAAAACATTCAATTGGGGTGACTTACAGTTCAAAGATTTAGTCCATTATTGTCATGGCAGGCAGCACGCAGGCAGACATGGTGCTGGAGAAAGAGCTGAGAGTTCTGCATCTTGATTCACAGGCAATAGGAAACAAACTGTGTGTGGGTTTGTGCACATGAGTGCCGTGCCCTGGGAGGCCTCAAGAGGTTGTAAGTGCTCCTGGGGCTGGAGTTACAGGAGAGCTGACTGGAACAGATGCCTAGAAGCAGACTCTGGACTTCGTAAGAATAGTGCATTTGGTAGTTTGAATGTAATTGGCCCCACAAGCTCACAGGGAGTGGCACTATTAGGAGGTGTGGCTTTGTTGGTGTAGGTATGACCTTATTGTGGGGGTGGGCTTTGAGGTCTCATATTCTCAAGCTATGCTCAATGTAGAAACAGTTTACTTCCTGTTGGAGACTTATCTGGCACACAGTATTATTAATAAAGATTTTGTGAATGAGTGATTAGTTGTAACACCTACTGAGAATGTGTACAAATTGTACTAAAGAGAAGACTCACACAGGACACATTAGAAGTCTATAATTCCTTGAGGAATGAATTGTGGAAGTAGAAGCCATTTATCCAATATGGATGTAAGAATGAAAATGGTAGGGCTTGAATATTCAGATTGTGGCTTAGCTCGAGAAGGAACAATGATGTAGGGATGTCCAAGTTGGGGAAGTGCTGGGGGACTTTTTACTCAGAAAGTAGCTGACTACTCAAAAAGTATGAAGACTCAAAAGTCTATTGAGAATGAAGATGGATGACTTTAGGGGCTTCTTTAGGGATACTGGCTAGATACAGGAAAACTACTCTTGCAATGGAGAAAAGGAAATGCTTTAAGATATTTTAGAAGGCAAAGTTGATCACTACTGTGTTTTAAAAACATTCTGTGATTCAACAAATCTTGAAAGTAACTGCTCTGACAATGACAAAGGAACACTTAACCACTGTTTTGAGAACTGAGTACCATACAGAGCAGTTGGTGGTTCTTCTGTTCCATACTATGCATTTCTCTGACCCCAAACTCACTCCACGGAAAAGGATGAATGGATGGGGAATCCACAACGGAAAGATGTAGATATAAACATAAGTTAACGTGCCTTGTGTTTCTGATCTCAAGAATTCTCAAAAGCCTTTGTAGTCCTACTAAAATCAGTCTTCCAGACGGGCCTGGTTAGTCACTGTGCGTTTTAGGAGAAGTTTATCTGAATTTAGGTAGAAACTGATTAGAAGTGCTTTCCCCCTCCCTTCCTGTTTCTCTCAGCTGTTGCCACCAGCCTGCAACACACAGAGGATTGCAGCCTAAGGAAAAGCTGCCTGCTGCTCTCCATGGCTGAGTCATTTCAATCCCCTGACAACTGTCCCAGAGCTTCTGGCTGCAGGGGCAGGTCTCAGCTCTTTCCTTTTCTAAGTGGCATCTCTCCATGGGAATGGGCTGACCTCTGGATGACACTCTTAGATCCTGAAAAATGTGGCTAATAAATTGAATGTTGAAGTCCAACACCATTAATAGAAACTAGAGGTGTCCTGCTGTTGAGGGCAGCGCCTGTAAAGGGTTCTAGGTCGGCTTTTGTGTACAGGGAGTTGGGAAGATTCCATGATTGATGTGTGGCACTGGCACCATTCGTTCTCTTGGTCACCAGTTTTCCACATTTGCTGACTACCCTGCAAAAGCCCAGGCCATTGTCTAGTTAAATGGTTCTTCTTCCTGCTGCATGTGTCAGCAGTATCTCCTCTCACCGAACAAGCCAGTTCAACAACAACTGACAGTTGCCAGTATTACAAACACCACTTCCCTAGGAAGACTCCTCTTTTTTTTTTTTAAAAAAATTTATTCCTCAAAAAACATTGTCAAAGAGAAAGATAAGTCATAACAAAATCTTATGCTTTTGTATACTGTTCTACAGACATTAATTTTTTGTAATTTAGAAATTAAATTCTTATTTAAAATACTATTTTCTGTAATCCTGTTCTAGGAATTTATCCCAGAGAAATAGCTATAGATATGTGCAATGCTTTGTTGTAGCATTATTTTTCTAAAGAAACACACATACACACACACACACACACACACACACACACACACACACACACACACATACACACACACACACATTCCTGAAGTCAAACATCCATATAGCAGAGACATGGTTCAAAATAGTGTGATGGGCTAGGAAAATCACTCAGTGGGTCAGAACAGTTGTTGCACAAGCCCGAGTTCAAATCTCCTACTCTCATCTAGTGTCTTGTGGTAGGTGTTGAAGACTGAATCCAGGATCTTGAGCATGCT